GGGGGGGGGGGGGGGGGGGGTTGTCTCGTGTTTAATATTAAATCTTTCCTTTGCACACAGGGAAATTGGATAAAGAAAAACAGAAGAAAGGTTGCACGTTCAATTTATGCTGCTATAATCAACCATGCAAGTGAACCTATGAATATGTAGTCCGTTTCATCTGAGGGGTCGGACTCTGGTAGGGCAGGCCAGCAAAGATTACATCTCAGCTCATCTGATTGGACCATATAAAGATTCAAACTGAGCTAATTTCATGCCGATCTGGTTGCCTCCAGTGAAACTATCCAAAAAGGCGAGGGGCTATAATGATTTGGAGAGGAACAGACAACAGATAAATGGCTGGAATTAAGTTGAAGGGCCTTCTTACCTTTGAGAAGAAATATTTCAATTTAAATGTATCATTTTTATCAGGCTAAGGTCCTTCAGCTTTGCAGCTCTGAGATTACTCCAATTAGATACCAAAAGTATGGTGAACTAACTGCAAATGAAGAAATGCCTTGTGTGCTCCTGTTCGGCATCATGCTGGTCCCAGACATTCAGTTACTACCACACGTGCAGCGTAAGCAAATGTATAACCGATTTACCCTGCTCAGAAATGCATGGATTGCCCTGAAATGACTGAAAGCGATAAGACTCCACCAGATTGCAAATAGATGCATATTGCATGTACAAACAACATGTATGTTCGACTTCTTACCTCTTCTTATGGTGCATGTTATTTTCTTGTGTATTCAAACTGCTCAAATGTGAGCCAAAATGAACATATTAATGATGATATAATAATATTCTATAATTTTATAATATGTCATTTCCAAGTTGTTGAAGGACTAACCGTTTTAATTCATCTAAAGGTAAAAAGGTCAATAAGAATCTTAAGGCTTAATGTGAAAGACTAACCTGGCTCCTTCTGGATAAAGCAGGAAGCATGGAGGGGACGTGGCGTGGTGTGCAGGATTTGAGCTCTGCCTGTGGGCTCAATAGATTTGACACAAGAGTGCTGATGAATCTCATCAGTTTAATGTGTTTATGCTTGCTAAGCCCTAAAAGCTTATTGCTGTTCAATGGAGTGCTACAAAGTTACCTAATTTCCCCCTGGTCGTCTCTCTGGGCCGGCTGACAACACATCCTCCCAGTGCCGCGCTGCGCTCTGCCACCTGTGGAAGACAGAGGGCACGCTGCGTCTCTCTGATTTGGGTTATCTGCCACAGAATGGGTCTTGACAGGAATACAGTGCCCACAGATATTACTGTGTTTTTTTTCCACCTTAAATTCCACCCATGACTGTCTCTCTCCTTCCGCAGTGATCCCCCCCCCCCCCCCCCCCCCCCCCCCCCCCTCCTTTTTTTTTTCTTCTTTTGCAGCCTTTTTCCCTATAAGTGCTTTAGTCTTATCTTCACTGCCCCCACCTCGCTTGTCTCATATTCCAACCAACGAGGCTGGCTGCCTATATGACAGCTAACAGCCTGTATTAATTAAAATGTCATGCTTCCAAATCAATACTGTAAAACTGTTCAAACACAACTCATCGCCACTGCTGTGATAAGTGCTTTTGGGTGACAGGTAAGTCCAAAGAAAGAGATGCGAGAGAATGCTGTGACGGAATTATCCCGGGAGAACATGTAACATTCAAATTTATGACATCCCCACCCCCACCCCACCCATTTGTGTTACTTCATCGCTCACAATTGAAAATTATCCACACTGTCAGGAAAAGTGTGCGGCTCTAAACTGACAGATCCCGAAAGTCAGCAGCAACAGGCCAGGGCGCTTGATGCAACAACTTCTGACTGCAACGCCTTGAAACGAACTAATCTATGCTTGTTTCAGTGGGAGACTGTCGGTGGGGGGGGGGGGGGGGGGGTTCAGTGCTACTCGAACAACTACAGAGTTATCCAATGGGGATCGTCTACTTGAGCAGAAGAACATAAACATATGTAGGTGATCAGAAAAACTTCTTTCAGTGGACTTGTGTGACACAAAATATAGGCTTGAGCCATGCCCCCCCTTCCAAAAAGAAGTTATTAAGCCTCTAAACCAACGAGCTACTGTTTTTTTTTGTTTTTTTGCAATGTTCCAGTGACCATGAGTGACATATGGGGCTGATTCCAAACTTTGAGCTGTACGTGTCCGCACATACTCATTGAAAGGCGCCATTCAAAAGCAAGGCTCAGGATATGGATAGAATGTGACAAATTCTGTCAGAGTAAATATGGTTTAATAAATGAATTAGCTTCATAAATAATGGCTGTAATGACATTTTAGGGGACAATAAGCCTAAGCGTTGTCAGGAAATAGTTGATGTATGAGTTTCATGCCTCAGCGGTTCCTCAAAATGAATAGGCTTGGGAAGATAGCAGGGGCCTGCAACCAGCCCATTTCCTCGAATTATCTACTTGTTGTCAATTTGCACAGTGGAATTACACATGCAAATTGAACTGCCTGCACAAACACCACTTGGAGATGATAAAAACAAATTAACAAAGGCTATAGAAGGAGGATTTATTTCACTGGCTAACCCAGGTCAAGCAATACATGTATTTTACGATTGTGTGTACCCAATTTTGGTGTAATTATATCAGCAAATTATTCTTTGTAATCTTATTATTTTTCCCCCAACCTTCTCCTTTACCCACATAATTAACTTCCCTCGTACCCTCACAAAAACCCAGCTCGTCACTGCATCAGAGGAACACTGCTTAATCTGATTTGGGGTTCATGTTGGTCACCCCTCTGCAGCACAAACCCAGAGGAAGGTGAGGGGTCAACAATTTAGTGGCACTGTTTAGTGTAACTGTTTGTATAGGGGCAGACAAGTTGACGTGCCTGAAACCCGAATGTTAAAATATATATAATCACCTCTTAACATCATCCCTCATACTGGGGAGGAAATTAAGAGTCCCCAGACCTCCACGTTTGCCATTAGATATCTCATTTACTTTGTACACACAGTGCTAATCTCCACTAATGAATTCTGCCACACCAAGCCAGATCGAGATGACTTAAAATTATTACCACTTCCACAGATATGCCTTTCCTCATTTGAGGCTCAATTTGGCTGGCTCGCAAAAACAGTCTGTCACAGTAAGATACTAATAATTAGGGTTTTAAGATGATTAGTTTATCTGTGTGCTCTTACAGTCCTGCCTCTTATCCACCATGGCCAAAACTTAATAAGAGGCTCTAAGTTTTAAACAGCCAACTCCAAATTACCAAGAAATGACAGAAATAATGAACTGGAGCACGTGCCAGGGAGAGAGGGAGAGACTGAGACATGGATGGTGAGGAAGCTGAGAGACTTTAATTCAAGTGTGAAAAAGAACATAAAGCCTGGTAATCAATAAGAAAATTATTCAGACCTATAAAACCAAAATTGTTTAGTATTAGCAGGACTTTGTGACTCTCATTTACCTTCAGTCCCTGATGTGCCCGTGAACTTGTCACACATGTAATTAAAGTCACGATAATGCCGAGTGAGTGATACCGGCTAATGGCTGCATATTTAGGAGGATGAGATATTTCAAGGCGTCCAAGATGACATTCAATATAGCATAAGCCTGATCAGGCAACTTTAATTCACATTTCATTTAGGGAAAAAAGGACTGTAAATCTCTCACATTTGGCTATGAGAGGGTCAAGGAGAGAGTAAGGTCTCTATATTTTCTCAGAACTTCATTTGGGTCAAAAGATGTGGGCTCAGAATCAAGCGTTAATAATGTTGTTTATGTGTGTGAAGAGCCTCTGCTGAATGTCTGATCAGATTAGCTTGTGATCAAATGCTTTCAAACATGTTTTGGTGCTTCAACTTAGGACTGCTTTTACAGTTAAATATCTTAGTGATTGTCTTTTATTTAACATGTCTTATTGAAACATAAAGCAAACAATAAGCCCCTGGAAATCCCGAGCTACAATGTTGACTTTGTATACACAGTGTTTACACAATAATGAGGAGAACCCATTAGAATTACCAAAAAATAAATAAAATCTAAAAAAAACAACAAAAGCATATTAAATTTTGAATTAGAGAACCACATTATAAAATGCGTTTTCCCTTTATCTGATAATTTACTTGATGATTGTTTGTGTTTTATTAAGATCTGTAGACTTTACAGGATTCCAAGTTCAAAATTCAAATACAGTACACAGTAATATGTATACAACATAGATGGATCTTTTAACATATATGGTGCAGTCATGGGAAGTATCCTTTATGCTGCATTCATATGGGACAAAAATACCGGCTATAATTTATGTATATTATGGGCACTACTGCAATAAGATGCAACCAAAAGGGAGTCTAATGTGAATGACTGTGAAAGAGCAATTTAAGGGTAGATGCCTGTGCCAGTGCTGGGGGGGCTATACCAGATTTGCATGCTAATCATTCTAATAATAATGTAATGCCCTGAGCACTTTGAGCAAATTGCGAACTACCGGTCATAGAAGGAAGCTTATCTCAACCAGAACATGGCACAAATATAGGTTAACGTTTGAATGATTATTGGTAATTCATGGCCCTGTTAGTACTCTGGTTCACCCCAATTAGAAATGGTCCACAACAGTTTTCTCTTCACTTTTCTCAAGTTGATAACAAGCTTTTAGGTCTATTAACCCCTAAAATGCCTTTAACATCTCAATCAAGAACTATTTCGTGACCTTTAGCCGTTAAGTACACTATATAATACGCCATATGTGCAGACGCACTTGAGATCATCGCAAATCTTTCTGCAGGTCAAGTTTACAAAAACAACCAATGGCAACTTTTGTTTGGTTCCCACGCGCCCTTGTTAAACTGTCGGCAAACAGGTCTGATTGGATACTGTGTGTACTAGCACCATTAATCAGCCAATGAGGGGGCTCCGAAAGACGCGCGTCATAGTGTTTACCCGGAAATGGAAGATTGTACTCGGCTGTTTACACTACGGTGCAATACTTTCAGTACGTTCTCCCCAAACTGAAGCATTAAAAATCTGTGTAATGTGAATAAAAACTACCGACTCACAATGTACAGCGGACTACTGCCGAAAGGAATAACTGAAGAAGAGCTTAGTCCAGACGAGGGAGAGGACGAGCAGGGAGATAATCAGCACAACCGGGACGGTAGAAGTGGTTTAGCTGAAAAACTGACGTGTGCCGCGGATAACTCTCCGTCGGCCGGGCAGCTACAGTCAACCCACGCCGACAGAGATGCTGACATCGGCTCCCCGAGTAGCACTATGCCCGGTATATCCCCGGAAATGTGGCAAGTAGGTTGTTGGCAATATGCGGGGAGCTGCTTCCCAGTTGCAGCTATCGGGTTAGTGCTTTGGGGCTCTGCAGTAGTAAAGCAAACTGTAGGTGTACTGCCCTGTGTACCATGCCCCCCAAAAACTGATTGTTTTAGTTAACAACTAAGTGGAATGATGCATATTATTAAGATTTGGGTGCCCTGTAGAGTAGAATATACGCTGTATGTGTTTGGGCAGAAATAAATGAATAAGAATGCATAAATGAATGCGATGCTGCCAATTCAATCCACTGTGTGTGCTTTTAAGAAATTCGAAGAACTGCGGAAGAAGAAAGAGCAAATCAAGACAATGAAAATCCCTGAAAAGAGAAAAAGAAGGAGGCGCAAAAAGGGTCAGGAATTTCACATTCATATAATGAAACAGCATATTGATGCACCTTACCCGAGTGGTCTGTAAATCTTGGGTTTGGCTGTCTTTTATTAGCCTATCTTGACAAAATGACATTGACAGTGTCTTTTGTGTATTTTACAGCAGCAGAAAGTGAAGCGCCTTCAGAGACAAGGTAACAGCCTGTTGCACTGTGTGATCAAGGGGAATCTAGCTGCTGACAATTTACTAAACAGTTCAACTCCACATAGTAAAGTGAGAAAGGGAACACCTCAGGGCTAATACGTTTTAGTTTAGTGTCTTTTACTCAATGGAATACTAGAAGTTCAGCATCTTGATACGATTAGTCTGTGTCACTGGAGACCCTAACTGAGGGATCAGATTGTGGAAAACAACCTGGAAATAGTTTCAGAAATAAGATATTTTTGGAAGGTTAACATATCTTGTTTGTTACAGGTGAAGGAAGGACACAAAATAGAGTAATAATTTGCAGTATTAATTGGTCAACTCAGAAAGAAACACATTTGTTTTCACAATAATTGTTTAGTAAGGTCTTGAAAGGATTTCAGATCTCAGGGAACCGATGTATTGCACTAAAACCTAAAGACTGCGTTGCTATAATTTCACCACAATTGTAAAAATCCTGTTCGGAGTGGAACTAGGCTGTAGTTCTGCTCTGCTCGTTGTGAACATTAACAGCCTTTTTTTTCTGTTGCTGTCAGAGAGCATCAGGAGGAACGAGAGAAGCCCTGGAATGAGCTTAAGCAGTACTTTGGTGTAAATGATCGATTTCAGCCCCCTGCATGCTCCAGACCCCCACCAAAGGTAACAGACTACCTTCCAACTTATCCTCCGAGGTGTAATTCTCTGTCTGTCGTAGCTGTTAGTCACACCTTCACATCCTTTGTGCCTCAGTGCCAGTGTATCTTCTTATTGTTTTATGTGATCTGACATGTGGGCTAGAGGAGCCCTCTGTACCAAGTCAACCTGACAGAGAGAAGAGTATCAGGGATTATGCTCAGCTACATTTAAGTGATACGATTAGGATGAATCTCCTTTCTGCTGTGGTGGAGATTAATGTGAGATGTAGATTTTCCCCCAGAAAAAAAAAAAACATAACGTAAATCCAAATGTTGCTCCACAAAAGAACACGGTGCTCAGGGACCTTTGCACAGATTCTGTGACAACAGCTGAAACACTGAAATGAATGGTTATATAATAAAGTATACGCGCAAATTCTATTTAATTTAGTTGTGATTAACAAAAAAAGGAAAGAAAAAAATCAGCAGAAACTTTATTTCACTGGAAAGAAATTCTGAACTTAAAGATGAACAATTTCTGCCAACGCATGCAAATTGACAATAAAGCAAGAAAAGAAAAACATTTAGAAGGAAAAAAAAGAAAATGAATATATATATACACACACATGAAAGCTTGCACAGTATAACTGACCCAGTGAATGGAAACTGTAGTCATTTCAGTTTGAAATCCTCTTAATGATTATTTTGGAGTATTTTGTGCTTAATTTATCTCAGAGCAGCATAAAATTGAGTTTCTTTTTTTTCTGATTTAGCCTCATTTTGAATCGGGTAACTATGAGGGGATAAAAGAAACGATTAACGAGCGGAATGAAACAGAACTTGTCACATCAACATAATGAAGGACTTCTTCTTTCCTCAAAAGCCGAGTCTTGTAATTAATATTATTTTGATACTGGCAAGACTTTAACACAATAATTTGCATAAGAGCTGTAAGTATGTTATAGCTGCCACTGGCGAGATGTCATAATTTATTTGCTAATGGCTTGTATTCCATAAAAATAAATTTTTTCATTTCTGTTTGCAAGTCACTGGGAAAAGTTTCTCACTGATCTGTTTGATGTTAAAATGTGTGGTTTTGTTTCTTTACTTTTACAGTCAGAATATATTAGAGGGGCCAAATTCATAATTACGGCCTCTTTCCGGTGTATTTTCCAACCCTGATGAGATTCTGGGGGGCTGCAGAAATATGTTGGCTCTGTCCGATTGAGCTCATCACAGCAGAACTGGCTTGCCATCAGTAACTGGGGGCTTCTCTTACCCACGCCTCCCCTCCCACCCCCCCTGCTTTGGCCCGTAATGGAAATGTGTAATTAAAGAAGCACATTTATGTTTGGTAATCTCCTGTAGCATTTCTAAGATTTCCTCTCTAATATCCAATCAAAAAGGTTTTCATTTGTGAACCAAAATCTACATATTTGTAGTAATGGCAATCATATTAAAAATAGAGCCCTGGGGACTTTCCAAGTAACTCTTTGATTTTTTTTTTCTCCACTCCTATTTAAAAAAAAAAAAAGGGAAAAAATCTGATTTTTTTTCCCCCCTTCTCCTCTTCTGCAGTCCGGCCTAGAAAAGAGCATAGAGGAGGCCATAGCTGAAGGGAACATTGCAAAGGCGGAGGAGATGAGCGACAGACTCGCCACTCGAGAGGTACGTTGAGCTGATAAGAGATCTTTGGGGTGCTCCCGCTGTGACAAATCAGGCTAATGGATCCGTGGCCATTTCTAGTGCAAAGACATAGAGGAACAAAAACACACGCAGACATCCGCCATTCAGTCCTCCAGCCCTTTTCCATTGAGTTAATGGAAAGCCCTCCCCTTAGTTTTGAAGTGCTGCAGTGTCTAAAGGACTTTTGGCTCTACTTTTTAATGAAGGGTACATCGCTTTCAAGCCAACTGTTAAATCATTCTCAAGGTAAGAGTTTCATACCTTTGAAGTGTACACGTTCCTAAATGCACTGCCTGAAGTTTTGTAGCGAACCGCCTTGGCAGGCATCAAGGATCAAGTGGTTTGAAACTAATTTACCATAAAGTGTAGCTCACACACATGTAATTGCGGTTAAAAAAGACACATAGCTGGAGCGTTCCTTCCTCGCTGAGGGAACAGCCGTGCTTTGTGCATCAAAGTTAGACTTCTTTGTTTTACGGTGCTCGCGTCGCTTACAGCACATGAGCGTTTACCTTTTAGAAGAGAGGCAACACAACAGTGGAGCAAACTGCAAGCTCGGGCTTTCATTCTCAGGCAGGGATTTCAATTAACCGGGAAATGGTTCAGGATATATTATATAGTGTTTTTTAATATTGTAATAGGTATTCTTTCAGCTTTAGCTACCTTTAGCTGTAAGTAATGGCCACCAGTTGCAACCCCTGGCAAAAATGATATAATCACAACTCCTCCTAGTTCTTTCAATTATTTATTTTTGTAGAAAAAATTGATCATAGAGACATACCTTTTTTTCTTTCAAAATTCTCTCCCTCTGGCATTAAGAAAACAATAAAAAAATAAAGACTTATAATACTTGTAGGAAGTCAAATTGTGATTTTTTTGATCAATTAGAGGAAACAAATAATATGGACTCACTAAATTCTGAGGAAACTATTCTGGAATAGCTCTGTAATTTTCAGTTCTAAAATAAACTCCTGCATCAGATTAAAATGTCTTAATTGTTCCTCAGTTAAAAAGAAAAGAGTTCTCACATTTCAGATAGCTTTTGCATGTGGTGGTGGCAAGTGGTTTGACATAAGGTTGTAAAAGGGGAACCCTACAGGTAGATAGAATTGAGTTTGCATGTGCAAAAGCCAAACAAAAGCAGTCAGGATCACCTAAACAGAAAAAAAAAAGCTCACAGTGGGATGAAGAAAGATATCATGGACTGTGGACGAGTGGATAAAAGTTGTCCTCAGTGATGAATCTGCATCAAGAGGGGGATGATGCTGGAACCTGTTTGGTATATGTCCAGTGAAATTTAAAAAGATGGCTGAACATCCTCAGTCATTGATGTTATGGGGCTGCAAGTCAGGTAAAGGCACGTGGGAGATGAGGGCCATTACTTCTTCCACAAATGCCAAAGTCTCCATTGGAATTCTGGACACTTTGTGGTGGTACTGACTACATTTTCCAGATAAGAATGCATCTTGCCATGTCGTTAAGGACGTAAAGATGTGCCCTCATGAAGAATAAAAATGTCAACGTTTTAAGGCTTCAGTTAAAAATATATTAAAAAAAGAAAAAAACAAGAGGAACTTCAACCTTTGGGAAGTGGGTTGCTTGATATTGCTTCTTGTAATTCTGTTCACACAGTAACACTGCATGATAGATGTATTATTATGGATCAGAAATCCTTAAAAAGACTATTAACCATTTATATCCAAGCCGTCGCCTGCCATACAAAATAACGCACCATAACTCTTGAGCCTTTTAAGCTATTGACGGATTTCAAGAAGATTCTGAAATCTGATATATTGTTTAGCGTATACTATTTTGTGGTGTTTTTTTTCTGAATAGCAATACCATACCATACTGGAAGTTCTTATTCAACGTAAAACAAATTAAAAGTTTTGAGTGTGTGCATATTTACATGTACAATAGGTACATGCACATGTACGCATTGTGCGTGTATACGTGAGGAGGAGGAGGAGGGGGGGGGGGGGGGATCAGATGCTTGGCACTAACTCTGTCCACAGGAAAACTAGAAGGCATGGCACATGGCTGGCTTTGGGCATTCCCGGTGCTAACAGCTCCATCCCCCAGAGAGAGCAGAAGCCTTTGATATGCGGGGACTTTCAGGAGCAGCTGTGAAAAGCAGCTCTGCTACTAGCTGGGACACCCCAGACACAAAACCCCAGGCTTCTTTCCTGTCCCCACCAGCAGAGCGCACGACTTAGAAACACAGACAGAGCGGGCCAAGGTGCACCCATGGATGTGAAACTCCATTTTAAAAAAATCAGAACTGGATTTAAACAAGCGAGTATCAGTTGAATTAAAAGGCCCTGGCAAATTAAACTACTTGTGTGGGTGTATTATAGCTAAGGCAAAGTCTCTGTCAGCTCAGGATCTTTAGAACAGATCCTCTACAGCATTTAGAAAGAGAAAACCAATTCAAATTCATATCCGTTTTTTAAATTTTTTCACACAGTTTAATGCATCTATGATTTAAAAGGATTTTTAAATGGTGAAGTTATCTTGAAAAAGGGGGTAAAAGACTTTGCACACAAGGCATTTATTTGTTGACTTAAATAAAGCGAAAGAGAACCAGGCAGATTGTTACTATCATAGGAGTAAAACATTTCTCAGGAAACGGAAAACTCCATAAACTTGCTATCACGAGAAGGCTCCTGAAACACTGTTTTAAAGTCAGGTGGAGTTTCCGGAACTTGCCGTCCCCACGTGGCCTGGCAGCCGCGTTCTGCGGTGGTCCTTTTTGAATTTCATACAACTGTCAGCAGATTGGTCAAAACTTGGGGAGCCGAGTGAAAGCCGTGGTGAGTGGCACCTGCGCTGTACTTTCTGAAAGCCTCTTAAAGCGCCGGTGGATTGGTTTTAGCCCGCGCTGAGGTCCTCGCCTCCCCGGCATCTGCATCGCGCGTTGCCAGAACAGTGATGGGACGTGACGGCGGTTTGGCAGGCGCCATCCATTGCTGAGCAGTGATAACTTCATTTTGAGGCGAGTAAAATGAAAAGAAAAAAGAAATTCCAGAATCCTCAAAAGCAAAGTGATGCAAATAGACGTTTACTTGTGAAGTGATATTTATATATAAATAAATATATGAAACAGTGTCTATAGAAATGCAGAAAAAGTGGAGGAGAAAAAAAGTTTGTAGGATTGTGATTTAGTCGGGAGGGATTATTTTTTTTTGGGGGGGGGGGGGTTGTTTGGAGCAATCACAATTGACGAGAGCACGGAGACAAACATTTAGAGGATCAATAACCTCCGCTGTGGCCAGAATCAATTTCAAGCTTATAATTGAGTGGTTCATTTGCTATGGAATGGCTTAGATGTCTAATTTGTTTACGGCCATAACAGCGAGACGTGATTGTGGCTGGCTCTACGCGGGAAGACTAGGACCAGGTTTTCTGTATTAGTAGAGGAAAATAAATAAAATGCAAAAGCATTCTGACAGCTATGAAGGTGGAAGGAGGCCCGTTTGTCCCTCTAGGCATTGTTTCTGTACAGAAAATGCCTATACACGTCCGGATGACAACGCTTCAGTGTATTTTAAATCCTCAATCTTAACGGTTTCCCCACTTATCTCCCCTTGAAGCAAAGGGAAATGAAAAGGGAAAAAAAACAAAAAAAAACACAGCCTCCTGTCAGAATATCCCCTTTTATGAAACAAAAATTGTTTGTTTTCTTTTGTTTTCTGCTCCCTCAAATCGATTAATGATTTACGCTTGCTTCAACCCCCCCCTCACCCCCCCGCCCAGAATCTGAGCATTGAAATAATTCGATAAAAAAACCTTTTTGAAGCCTCCATAGCAAGAGATATGCTCTCTTTCATCCCTCAAACTTCTTAGACGCTCTGCTTGGATACTGCAATTGAAGGTTTTCTGTTCGTATTGCTGCTTTTAAACGCGTTTTAAGCCTTTGATTTAGATTAAGTCGTGAAGACATGTTCACGTTTTTTGTTTCTTCTTTTTTTCCTCTTGAGCAAAAGTATTAGCTCCTCCAGAAATGCCACAAACATTCTCTTTAAGGTGATGAAAAAATGTACAATATCTGCATTGCTTCGCCAAAGCTCTTTAATGTATTCATTTAAACACCGCAGATAGGATTTCTTTTCTCACAGAATTGTCAGTTCTTCCTCCTCCTCAGCAGGTTTAGATTTCTTTTCACAAGCTTTGAAGGAGGCAGAGTTACTTCTAAATAAAAGCAGTCTGCCTGTAATGTGCTTCTAGCAGGTCTGGTAAATTATAAGGTGTAAGTTCTCCAATTAGAAAGACTAGATCTCCTTTATTTTTGATTATTACTCATTATTTTGAAGTCCAGCAAGTTGCCGAGGGGATAAGTAACTCTGTCAAACAGGCACATAAACAGCTCAAAGCCTGACGGGAAGCTCCACTTTCAGCCGTAATTGGGAAATAAAGCTGATAACTAATGAGTGAGCATAACGCAGTGTAGCCGCCGGTTAGTTCTACGGGTTGGTCACTTTTTAGTTTTAATCATTAACCCGTTTTTTTGTTGTTGTTGATGCAGACTTCAGACTTCTTGCCAAATTCCAAAACCACCTCAAAGCAAAGACGCCCCCAAAAAACTATGTTTTATCTCAGATGAAGCAGGGTTTCTGTGATTTCCTCAAGAAATTCTACAAATTTCCATTAGCGGACCCCCGCATTTCCACCTCAGTGTCCTGCCTGTGCACTGGTTTACCACCTTATCCCGGCATTTTTCCTGACTCGCTAAATCTTTTAGAGCATTTTCGTTTCACGCGTTATCTTTTCTCCTAAACTTTTGGTCTAATAATTTTTAGCCCTTTGCCTGTACAGTCCTAAAATGAGATTAAAATCCTTCATTCACTAGATATGGACCCATCCGGAAAGCTCTTTTCTTACAGTATTACACAGATTTGTGAGCATTTATGCTTTCCGTTAACCAACGTTTTGGTGCTATAAATTATTAACAAAGTCTACTTGCTGTTTGCAAAGTCTGAATCCCTCTGGAG